TTTGGCGTACCAGAATTTGGTGATAAAAATGTTCTCTAACAATCTGTTGACATGACATATCACTTGCTGCCTTGTTTATAGTACATAAATAAGCTAGAAGGCAATCTTCCCACTGCCCCCCAACTTTAGAAAGATAACTGCAGTGATCCTGACTTTCTACTGTAGTTGTCATACGTTTGAATAAAATGTTGTATCACCTATCATATTTTCCTGAAGTATTACAAATCCATTTCTATCGTCAATGTTTTCAGCATTTCATCTTGTCCTGTGCCAACTATTAAGGTTTTCAGGAGTGTGCAGATATATTTGTTTGTAATTTTCAGGTATGATACACATCCAAATTTTTGCAGTTATATATATATGTGCTTCATGTATAACTTGATGTTTATGCATGCATGTGAGGGAGAAGGAAGGGTTGCTAAGGAATGCTCAGCAAAGGCTAAGGAAAATATACCTCATGCTGTGGGAGCAGGGACAGTGGTGGGCCTGCTTCAGCAGTGAGACCCATGCTTTATTAGCTCCTGGTACTTGCAGATTGGCTCCTGCTGTGGTCCTAGGCATACTTTCAGCATGGTGAAACCACTGGAAGGGGGGCCAGATCATGGGGCAAAGATGCCAGGCCAGGCAATGTAGCCTGATACCACAACCAGACCCTATAGGATGAATGCACACCACCTGACAAAGGCAGCAGTGTCTGGAACCTCTGGGGAAGCTTCGCTGGGCCGCGTAGTCAGCGAGGAGGATTGGCACTGGATGGAACAGCCCCAGTAAAAGCAAGGGTTTTTTTTCCCCTTTCTTTTGGGTTTCTTTTTTTCTTTCTGCTCCCAGCAGGGAGCATGGGCATGGCTGGCACTGATAACCCTTGTAGGGTGGGGACAGGAACAGGGATTAACAGTCTGCCCTAATTGGACCCTGACCAGGGATTACTTGGTGAGACCCACCCCATGCCTTGGAGAAGTCCCAGAGGGGTTAGACTTAGACTAATTAAATACAGACATGGCTAAGGACTTGCCCTCAGGTAGAGGGTTGGCACAATCATTGAGAAATCTGGGGGGACTTTGTTTGCTTAGCTGGACTATTAATGAAAGATGCCCAGGCCAGTTGACTTTGCTGAAGAATATTTTTCTTTATTATTTTATTCTGTTCCTATTGGCCTTCTTTGATTTTGCCAAGCAGCCCAGACTGTAGGGAACTAATGCTGTTAGAGCCTTAATTTATTTTAAAAGACTGGGATCCTTGGTCTTAATGAGCCCCAGGACTGGGAAACCCATCTAATTTAATTTCTAGAAGTTTTGCTTAGCAGTCATAGATAAATGCTGTTACTTTGGGAGTAAGCAGTACAGTCCATTTGACCTGGCTCAAAGATAGCCCCAAGCCAACGGGCAATGAAGCCAGAATGCAGGTTGACTTCAGACATAGACACTGACCATCATAATTCCATACAGTTGGAATGTGAATGGGGTGAGGGACTGGCCTGATGGACCCCAGAAGGCAAACGCTTACCTGGTAGACCACCTCCTGACTTAGGATCATTCAACATCAAGACATGGCAGGAGAGATGTGGGCAATCTAGGTTGACCATTCAGACCAAGAGGGTCCAGTATCCTCAAGGCGCACACCCATAGGACATATGGCCACCGATGGCTAGGGCCATACACTGTGACAAAGCATAATAGCACATATAATCTAAGTTTTGTGTTTCATTCTGAAAATCAGGCACACATTTCTTTATGCACAAAGAAATCTGAAAATATGCCTTATTATCATAGGTATAGTTCCCAGAATAATTAAAATGGCCAGTTTTGTTCCTACATATTTTAAATATTTTAAAATGCCGTGTATATTCCCAGATGTTTAAAAATACTAGTTCTGTTCTCTTGCTGACTTAAACCAGGAAAAATATTTTTCTAGTCTTTAAATTAAAATACTGTATATTCACTGTGCCTGCAAATAGGGAAAAATTAAATCTACTTAGGACCACGTGCAAATCAATAACACAGTGGGGGCATCTATATGTGTGACTATATGAACAAATAAACTCTAGAGCATATTGCCCTGGAGTTTACTTATGTGCAGGTTGTGGAGCCTGGTCAGAGCAACCCAGGCTGGCAGGGCACCTGGAGGTCAGTCTGTGGGCAGCCAAAGGCTTCTCCAACCAGGCTTCATGTCTCTACATCAAAGATTAGCTCACCTCCCTGCAGATTGAGTTTCCAAACCAGGAAGGGCATCTTGAGACCTTCTGGGTCAAGATACAAGAAGAACATGGGGACAGTGACTTATGTGTAGGAGTCTATTAGAGAACTCCCCCCTAAGAGGAAGACCTAGATTGGGGATTCAATAGGGAACTAGTTGAAGCCGCGTGCTCCCAAAGCATGATCCTCTTGGGGTGCTTCAACTTGCCTGACATCTCTTGGGATGAACACATAGCCAAATCTGACAGGTCATGTAGCTTTCTGATGTGCATTGATGGCCTCTACCTAACCCCAGAGGACTATGGGGTGACTAGGGGAGAGGCATTGCTTGATCTGGTCCTGGCCAAAGGAGAGGACCTGGTGCAGATTGAGGGAAAGTTTGGTGAAAGCAACCACGAATTGGTCACTTTCTTAGTTCACTGAAGCACAAGAAAACCCCTCAGTAAAACAGAAGTACTTAACTTTGTGATGACTGACTTTTGCAAACTGGGAGAATTGGTCAGTCAGGCAATTAGAGGCCATACCCCACCCCCCAGAAAAGGGAGTACACAAGGAATGATCATCTCTCAAAAACAATCCTTGAAGCACAGGGCAAAGCCATACCATCTTGCAAGAAATAAAGTCAATGGGCAAGGAAGCACCCATGGCTGAATGAGGAACTGTTGGACCTCATTAAGCTCAAAAGAGTAGCCTACACCAGCTGAAAAACAGGAAGCATTACCAAAGAGGATTTCTCTGCACTCACCCACACCTGTAGAGAGCAGTCGAGAAAATCCAAGGCACAAACCAAATTTAGGCTAGCTACAGGAATCAAGGACAACAAAAAGTCCTTCTTCAGATATGTGGGAAATTGGAAAAAGAACAGGGAAAGCATTGGGCCCCTGAGAGATTCACAAGTCCACGGGTCTAGACGGAATGCACCCAAGAGTCTTGAAAGCGCTGACAAACATTATTGCACCCCCCTTGGCAGATATATTTGAAAAATCATGGAACTCTGGAGAGGTTGACTGGATAAGAGCCAATGCCGCCCCTATTTACAAGAAAGGGAGGAGGAATGAACTATAGACCAATCAGTCTGACATCCATCCTTGGAAAAATCCTGGAGAAAATTGTCAAGGGATCCATCAATGCCAGACTAATGGAAGGGAAGCTTCCAAATACCAGCGAACCCGGCTTTGTGACTGGCAGGTCTTGCCTGACCAACCTCATGTTCTTCTATGACCAAGTTCCCTGGACAAGGAAGATGATGTGGATGTCATATATCTGGGCTTCAGGAAGGCCTTTGACTTAGTTCTCTATGATGTCCTCATGGTAAACTGGGGAACTGTGGCCTTGATCATTATATGGTCCAATGGCTAGGCAACTGGTTAAGGGGTTGTACCCAAAGAGTGCTAGTTGAAGGGAGCAAATCAATGTGGCTCAGGGTGACCAGTGGAGTCCCCCAGGGCTGGGTACTTGGGCCAGTACGCTTTAACATCTTCATTAATGATCTGGATTCAGGAGTCAGATATGAACTGGCCAAGTTCACAGATGTTACCAACTTATGGGGGAGCGTGGTCACACCGCAGGACTGGCTAGGGATACAAGCCAACTTCAACATGCTTTCAAGGTGGGCTGACCAAAACCTGATTGTCTTCAATGCGTAGAAGTTCAAGGTGCTGCACATTGTTAGGAAGAATCCTCAGCATACTTACAGGCTCGGCAGTGCTATGCTCGCTAGTAACATGACCAAAAGGGACTTGGGGATCTTGATGGACCACAAAATGAATATGAGCTACCAATGTGATGCTGTGGCTGGCAAAGCTAACCAAACTCTGGCATGCATCCACCGATGCGTGTCAAGCAAAACCAGGAAAGTCATCCTCCCACTTTACTTGGCCCTGCAGCTGGAGTATTGTGTCCAGTATTAGGTCCCCCACTTCAGGAAGGATGTGGAGAAGACTGAAAGTGAAGAGGAGAGCCATGCATATGATCCAAGGCCTGGAGGGAAGGCCATATGAGGAGAGGCAGAGGGACTTGGGACTCTTCAGTCTGGAGAAGAGAAGGTTCGGGGGGGACTTGGTGGTAGCCTACAATTACATAAGAGATGGTGTATCATGACCTGGGAGAACACCTGTTTATCAGAGTACAGGGATAAAAAGGTCTAACGGCCATAAACTTCAGGAAGGCCTATTTAGGGTCAACATAAGAAAAATGTTCTTTACAGTGCGTGTCCAGGGTCTGGAACAAACTCCCTCCAGAGGTGGTGCAAGCACCTCATTTGAACTCCTTCAAAAAACAGGTGTCTATATTTCTTGCTGGGGTCACTTGATCCCAGCTGACTTCCTACCTATGGTGTTTGGAGGGCGGGGCTGGAACCAATGATCTCATGAGGTCCCTTCCAGCCCCTAATGTCTATGAAATCTATGTGCTACAGAGGGGCTGGCTGAGGCATGAGGGTGCTTCACCATGGAGCCAACATGTTTCCCCTGCACTGAAGCGCTTTTGTGCCCAACCAGCCAGGGAATCATCTACATGTGCATTGTACAGCTTATTAGTTTCTACCCTGCTGTGAAGTTTCTTAGTTTTATACTCCCTAATAGAGGCACACATGGTTTCATAATTGGTAGGGTCAGAAGGGACCTGAGCATAGCATCAAGTCTGACTCCCTGCCATGGGTAGGAAAGAATCCTGGGGTCAAATGACCCCGGCAAAGTGTCTATCTGGCCTCCTTTTAAAGACCCCCAGGGTAGCAGCGAGTACCACTTCCCTTGGAAGTTGGTTCCAGATCCTGGCTGCCCTGACTGTGAAGTAGTTCCTCCTGATATCTAGCCTGAATCTACTCTCTGACAATTTATGGCCGTTATTCCTTGTTACTCCCAGTAGTGCTCACGGCAACAAGGACTCTTCCATTGCCTTCTGGTCTCCCTTGGCCAGTTTATAATGTAGACACCAAGATGGTTACTGAACAGTTAATTAGTCAACTGCATAGTAAACGTTTTGTGTAGATGTGCCCAGTATATATTTAAAGTTTTATGTCATAAGAAATTTTTTTAAATCAATTACAGTCCTTGAAAACAAATTATGCACATATGTGACACTAATATACTTTTTACTGACACTATCAAACTTCAGTTACATTGATTGCTTTCATAAATGGCAGTCAGGTTGATAGCTTCTAGAAAGTAATAGTACACAATATGTCTATACATACTTTTATGCTGGCTTAAATTTACTGCACAGTAAGTGGGAATAGGCCAGTGTCTATACGTGGAGGCATTAAAGCACATTAACGCTGCCTGTGGTTGCACTTATGACTAAAGTTAGTCCCAAATCAGTCCACACACACCGTGTTACTACACAGTAAGGTGTCTACACATGTGTAACTGTGCAGTAACTAATAGGGCACAAATTTGATACCTGCATGATCCAGGTATCAAATTTATACTCAAGTCAGCATAAATCACCATATTTACTGCACAGTATGGGTGTGCACATGTAGACGTGCATCCATACTGTGCAGTGATTTCAGTTACTGCGCAATGAGTGTGCATGTATATATGTGCCCACCGGGCAGGTCTACACATGCAGTTAATGCTCAGAAAGCTTGCTACACAGTTTCATAGTTTCTAGGGTCGGAAGGGACCTGAGTAGATCATCTAGTCCGACCCCCTGCCATGGCAGGAAAGAGTACCGGGGTCAAACAACCCCAGCAAGGTGTTCATCTAACCTCCTCTTAAAGACCCCTAGGGTAGGAGCAAGTACCACTTCTCTTGGAAGTTAGTTCCAGATCCTAGCCACCCTGACAGTGAAGTAGCGCCTCCTGATATCTAGTCTAAATCTATCTTCTGCCAGCTTGTGACTGTTATTCCTGGTCACTCCTAGCAGTGCTCAGGGGAACAGGGACTTCCCCAGTGCCTGCTGATCCCCCCTGACTA